TGATACGACTTGGAAATATGGGATCCTTCGAGACTTGTATTCACATGGCGTCCGAGGTCGCATGCTTCGTTGTATTCAAAGTTTTTTGACGGGTTGGACCTTCCAAGTGCGTTTGGGCTCCATCGTTTCGGATGTCTTTCTCCAGAAGAACGACGTCCCTGAGAGTGGAGTACTAAGCGTTACACTTTTTGCCGTAAAGATTAATAGTTTGGCTAAGGTTATACCACCATCTGTATCCTATTCAATGTATGTGGATGAAGTGCAGATATCATTTTCCTCTTCTAACCTGTCCAGCTGTGAACGGCAATTGCAGCTCACAATCAATACGATGAGCAAGTGGGCTGATCAACATGGCTTCAGGTTCTCTCCTGATAAGACAGTCTGCGTTCCCTTTTCACTCCTCCGTGGCCTATCTCCAGATCAATGTGTTGCACTTGAATGACGTTGCTATATCTGTAAAGGAGGAACACAAGTTTTTAGGGATCATATTTGATAAAAAGCTCACTTTTATACCCCACTTGAAAGAGTTGAAACATAAATGCCTACGTTCATCAAGCATCCTCAAAGTCCTGTCGCATACGTCCTGGGGGTCTGACAGACGGTGCCTCTTGCGACTTTATAACTCCTTGGTGCGGTCCCGCTTGGACTATGGCGCGATTGTTTATGGTTCGGCGCGTCCGTCTGCCCTAAAAAAGTTGGACCCCATCCATCATCTGGGGCTCAGACTTGCCACGGGAGCGTTTCAAACATCACCTGTACTTAGCTCGTATGCTGATACACATCAAATGTCCTTGGAAAGACGAAGGCAATATTTGAGTCTTTGTTATGCTTACAAGATATACAGCTATCCTCAACATCCCACTTTCGACGCCCTTCAACCTTCTACATCGTTCCGACTCTATGAAAACAAGCCGAGCATTGTTCGGCCCCTGAGTTTCAGAGTACAGAGCCTGGCAACATCGCTCCACCTCCCCTTTAGTGAAGCTGCTTTGCTGAGGAGCAATGAAAGATTTGCGCCTTGGAACCTTCTGCCGATCTCTTGTGACTGGTCACTGGCCAAGTACAGAAAGATAGCTACTTCTCCACTCGTTCTTCAGCGGGAGTTTGCCGAATTGGAACAGAAATACAAGGACTACTCACACTTTTACACTGACGGATCAAAAACATCAACCTTCGTGGGGTGTGCGGTTTACTCCACTAGCTTCAGGAAAGTTCGACAACTCCACATTTATGCAAATATGTTTACTGCTGAATTGTACGGTATTTTAATGGCTGTTGAATACTTATTAGAGAACAATATTATGAAAGCAATTCTGTTTGTCGACTCCCAGAGCGTTCTTCTAGCCGTTTCGTCCTTAGCAGACAGCAAGAACCTTCTCGTGCAATGTCTTCGGGTACGACTAAACCGAGCACTTCAACTAAGACACCAGATCAAATTCTGCTGGGTCCCGAGCAACGTGGGCATTTCTGGCAATGAGAAGGCAGACTTGCTTGCTGCCTCTGCAAAGGAATGCCCCAAACTGCCTCTTGGCCTGCCACACCAAGACCTGAAACCGATCATACAGAAATCGATTATCAACTCATGGCAGCTGGATTGAGATTTGGAAAAAGAGAACAAGCTTCACAATATCAAGCCCCAACTGGGAGTATGGGAGAGTTCGTTCCATAAAGTCCGTCGGGTTGAGGTTCTCTTTTGCCGCTGAAGAATTGGTCGTACCCGTTTGACTTATTTGCACCTGCGCTATGGTGAGGATGTTAAACTTTGCGACAACTGTGGGAAAGTTATGACTGTTTTGCACATCCTGTGGCATTGCAAAGCTTTAAACTAGGAGCGCCGATCATGTTTTCCAGAACTCTTTCGAGATCACCTTCCCTTTCATCCATATTTTCTGCTTGGCGATCAACCATTTATACCATTCGATCGAGTTTTAAAGTTCCTTCATAACACTGGCCTTTTACACCAGCTGTAGCTTGCAGTTCTTTTAGATTACACCTCTAAGCCCCTTGGAAAAACCTTTGTTTTGCGCAATATGGCCTCAGTTGCTCTTGCGCCATAAAACCCCAATCATCATCGTGATTGTTTTTTTAGCAGGAATTGCTTAAAAGGCCGATAATTCACAACAACAAAAACCAGTATTTAGCTCGGAGTACGCGGGGCTGTGTATAGCATTTTTATCGTTTCTAACTTAATATCAGCATGATAATAATGTAAGAGGTTTCTGCAGCCCATCCAGGTTGAAGGGTGGACAACATGCGCAGTATTAAAAACGCTGACATTGAGGAGAAATTTTAAAAGCGATGTGACAGGTCATTGGGGTATATCAGGCGCTTGTTCAGAGTGACTTCGAATTACGCTCAAGACCTGTGTAACCGAGAATAGGGTTGAAATTACCGATCAATAAGGGGCTGAGGGGCCACCGTTCCCATGATGCTTTTAGCCCGGGCCGGGGCACTTGGGGATATAGCAGATGGTCTATAAGGCCAGCAGGATCTAGCTTCTCTGGCCGAGAAAGTGTATGTGCTCGGATGAAAACTTGTTCGCGCCTTTTTATACCAGAACCCCCTGAACCGGCGATTTTCAAAAATGGCTGAATATGATCGTACCGAGCGTTGGCGCCCTAGTCTTACAATGACGCAACCATTCTAGCTTCAGATAAAAGGTGGAATCTTGAGTGTAAAATATCGACGACGTCACCAGCAATTTGTTAGCCCCAAGCGTGACGTGTCATTAAAAGTCGATTTGAAAAAAGAAAAAAAAAATGACAAGAGGACACATAGAGGCGGGCGTACTTGGGGCTCCCTTTTGGTCTTTTGTTGGTATTTGGAGACTGCGTTTTGCCGTTCTTTGTCTCCTGTTCTGTGTTCAGTTGCTTGGCTCAAAGTTTGCGATCGGTTCAGCTTTATCCTGGATTCTGACGGTCACTAATTCCGTATATTGTTCCGGCCACGAATGTGTTTCAAGTTGCAAAACGTATTTGAGTAGTGAGTACAAGATAGTGATAAATGTAATTAAGATAGAGTAGCAAATACGTAAGACTAAAGGCATTTGTAATATACCAAAATACTGTTAAAAGTATATGAAGTACAGTATATTGAGTAGAGTATTTAAGATAGGCACAAGTCTGACTTGCTCACATACTTCACATACTCTGAGGATGTCGTGGACACGAGGCCTACGTCAGCGTTCGGCGAGGACTCGGATCCAAACACGCACTTCGTGTCCAAAAACGGCGACTGCCAATGCTGCTTGATGAACTTTTTAAGAGGGTCTATTTTATGCAGAATTAATGTGCGAACCGTTTCTATATCTTCGAGACCAAGCGTCATACTATCCGGCTCGCATAGTCGTTTTTTTTTTCTTTGTGTGTATGCAGATGATCGGATATTCGTCTATGTAAAGTGTTCGGCCGGTGCATGTTATATAAATTCTTTTAAATTTGTAAGTACGCGTGAACTTCGCTGCCTTTAACTTAACGACGACAAAAACATTTCTTATATTCCATCTATACTCACACGGCCACGTCGACTGCTAGAGGGCATCAGCTGGTAGGAAGTGTACCACCAGCATATCCTGAAATCTGACTATCGGACCGCTATACCTAAGGGCTCTCAGTATTGGAGTTAGCCAATTGATCGTCTCGTCAAAAACTGCAGTGGTCATAGATTGGGTGGCAGTGGCCACACGTAATACTGTCTGTCTTTCAGCTTATGATGAGGCTGTTTTCTCCTCGTAACCCTGCCATGTATTTCCGGACTGATTATCTACAGTAGTACTTAGCATAGGAAAACGTTATTACGTAGTAGGATTAGTATAAAACTGGTTGCAGTTTTGTCAAAATAAAGAGCGAAATTAAAATCAGAAATATTCGTAATAGTATAAACACGGCACTAGCATGTAGAAATAGTAGCATAAAAAGGCCGTGCGTGGATATTAAAAAAAAAAAAAAAAAAAAAAAACAGAAAGACAGAATTAGGTGAGCACTACTCTCAAAAGATGCCCTGTCGGTGTTCTGTCTTCCTATGTTTATTTTTCTTTTTAAGTTTTTGCACCAGATCAACGCGTTCATCTCCAAAAGAAAAACATTAGGTTCGAATGTTTCTCATTTTACACAAGCATACTGACACATGGGCTACCCTAGTCTGCTCTAATCACATGCAAAACGCCACTGACCAAGAAGCTTCTTCGTGAAGGTGTAATTTCACAGACACCTATAGACTTTTTCCTTCAACTTTTCGTTCGGAAATATTAAATGACGAAGTAACGGATTGTTGTCGCAGTCACGGTAATTGCGCTATGACGACGATTTTCAAATGCAACTTGTGCGCTGGACATGAGCACTGTAGGAACACTCGACATTGGCTCGCGAAAACCAATGCCTTGGCGAGTATTCGGCTAGTGGCTCGTGTTAAATCGCTCGAGTGGCGGGAGAATACAAACCCTGGCAATCTATAGAGCTCAGCACCTGCCATATATGCTTGGCCGACCCCGGCGCGTGGCCACGTTGAAAATTGGCAGCACATAATCGGTACGGCATCACGTGACAGCTCGTTCTGTTTGTGAGTTGAGGGGGTGAACGCCGCTTGTTTTTTATTTTCAGATCATATTTTTTTTTGCAATTTCCATTGTCTATAAAGAGAAAACAAATTTATGCTTTGTGGGATATGCACGTCAAATATTAATTCTCTGCTGTATTTTGTAAGGGTACAGGAAATGTGGCACCGCCTCTTTTATATAATGGTCAGGAAGCTAAAGGGACACTCTTTGGTGCAGGTGCTTAAACAAACTCTCCTCTCGCGTATCGGATTCCATACGTATAAAGCGCATTGTAACGCGTATTTTTGGTTGGAGCTTTTATTGCATGTTTTATTATGTAAAGGCAGTGCAATAAAAAAAAAAAAAACCTTGCATCACCGAAAAGAAAAATGCATTCAAACGTTTATATTTGTTGTTCTGATTGCTATAAAACAAACAAGTGTTGCATTTTATTTTTTCAACACAGGAGTGCACTTTAGGCCCAAGAGAAACGCTGCGCAATTGGATCGACGAATTGACGAGACAAAAAAACAGAGTTTTGATAGAATGGTGCCCAAATTTTCCGAAGAAGTAACTTTCGCTGGTGGTTGCAATAAATAAAAAAAGAATTACGTGTGCCCTTTATCTGCATCAATTCTCAATAAAAAATACTTCTTTAGTACAATTCATGTTGTAAAGTTCAGTAACATACTGAGCTTTATCCGATAAAGACTGATCCAAGAACATCCACTTTTGGGGACTTTAGACGCGCTAACGCCTGACAGCCTCGCGTACTTCATTTATAGTGATTTCTCTGTTTACCTTTTCTGCCACCGTTTTACCTACTTTCGGCATTAGCTTACACAAAATTGTAATACATGATTATTAAAAACTTTATTTTCTTTGAACTGTACTCCGCAAAAATGGACTATTTCCCACTCGATATCAGTTTGCTCAGTTAAGAGCGCGTGTTATAACCGGAGCGCCGTGATTTACGTTTTGCTTGCTACCGTTCATTCATTTTTAAACATTTTTGTCGGCTGTTCGTCTCGCTCGAGCGCCTGCATCCTGCGATGAATCTTTGCACCCTTGTACACTTTTTCGAGCATCATATTAGCGGAACCTTACAGTCTTTTAAATCATAAAAAAAAAAAAAAGTGTTTGCTTTTTGATGGTACTAAGCGCATTTAATATTTTTGACAGTAGTTTTTTTCTTTTTCTTTTCTAAATCATTCTTTTTTTAATTTTTTCTGTCCGGTTGATATGATCTTCATTTTAATATTCCCTTTCAACAGTTCCCAGTTAACGGAATTCCTATCTTTGTTCTCAAGTTTCTCTCGGATAAGCTTTTTTTTAAATTTTTGACTACCTTGTCATTATGTAGCAGTTTCTTTAAGCTTCCATGACTGCCACCATGAATCTTGTCTGGGTCGTTTCCTTTCTCCATACTGTACGAAAACCAGCGCATGGTTGAGAAGGCAATTGGTTCGACATCCGCTCGAGCTACATCACTAGACAGGTACACGCGAATGGCAGTCACTCTGCCAATGCCTATATACCTTTTCATTTCAGGAGTTGCCTGACCGGCGGGTAGAGGGCGCTGGCGCACTCGCCACCATTGGCTGTGTTCCAAAATTTACTCGATCCGGCTCCGGAGTAAAGGAATTCGTACCGTGGCGTTTCAAAACTTACTCGCGCTTACCCGATGACGTGAGAACTCGCGTTCCAGAAGCGGAGTAATTACCCATGCTACCCTCCTCGATCGGGGGGAAATGCCGGATCAAATCGAGTGAAGAGGCCACGTGATCTGTTCGTCCTCTGCTTCCTGCGCCGACGGCCGTCAAAGCTTGTTTGCTCCGTTGGCTTTGGTGGCAGACGTTCGAAATAACAAAGAAATGATGTGCAGCCATTTATGTGTGGTTATTGCAATTTGCTGTTTTCAATGTAGGCATTGATTGCACCAGATCCAGACCGTGCACGTGTCTTCCCCCAGGAACGTATACTTGTTATTTTCAAAGTGCGAGCGTAAACAGAAGCTTCTCCGCATCAAGTTTGTCCTCGGCGTTGGAGAGAAGTCCGTATTCTTACATTAAAGGATAAAAATGTTCGAACACAGTAGATAATGTAAAAATTTGTTGGTTTTTTTTTTCTCCCCAGAGGGCGTGTGCAATGAGAGATAACGCTTGTAAAGCAGTGAAGGCATCTAAGATTTTATGCATAGACCGACACGCGGAGCGACTCTGTTTACCAACACGGCCGGAAGGCCGCGCATGTGCGGTAGCTATGTGAGCAAAAGCGGCCCGTCTTTCCGTGTTATCGCCATTGCGTTGTGTGGCGTGCGCTCGTTGTTGACGTTTTAGGGACGCTTGTAGCTTTATTTGGGCGTCGTATTTTCTGACAATGCATGTCGTAGGCTATGCCCGACTATTTCAGCTCGCTACCGGAGCATGAACGGCAGCGGTATCGAAACAAATTGCGTGGACGGCGTGTCCTACGAGGATCCGTACGCCGTAAACAAGGCCTGCTGGACTACCGACGTGAAGTTGCTGCCACCGAAGTGGACGGCTCACGTCGTCGTTTATTTAGTTTTTTCGCCAAGCCAATTCACGGCCGACACAGTGCAGGCGTACAAGTCTCTCGAGGCCTACGATTACTTCGAGTCGGTTCCCACACTGTCGGCGGGATCAGCAGACTGTGGGTCTGCGAAAGCGTATTTATTAATTAGATAAATACACACAGCGTCTTGAAGTCAAGGTATGATATTTTTCCTACTCTCATGACCACAAGGCATGAGAAGCAGTAACGCTTTGTCCGCCTTGCAGTCTTGGCGGTAACACGTTTCAAGTAACGGCGTTGCCGGTAACGCGTTACTCTTTTCAGTAACGTAGTAACCTACTCGTTACGTTTTCGACACAGTAACGGGTAACGTACTTACGTTACTATTTCAAGTAACGTAGTTCCGTTACAAGTTACTACTTCCCAACTCTTAAAGAAATTACACTTCAATTTTTTCCGTGTTTTAGGCGTCAAGCCATGTCTTTCTTTGCGTTTTTTTTTCGTGAATATCTAGGTGAAACCGTAAAAAGAGATAAAGTAATTATGTTCAGTTTCTGCACGAACATAATGGTTCTTGATATATGAGCTTGCGCATACCTGTATCTTCAAAACTGTAAAATGTGTTAAATCATAATTAAAAAAAAAGTAAAGCAGAAGTAACGTGCGCTACTTTTTATCGGTAGCGGTAACGCGTTCCTTTTATTTTTAGGTAACATAGCTCAGTAACGCGTACCTTTTATTTGCAAGTAACGAGTAACGTATTTCGTTACTTTTTTTTGGTGACGCGTATACAACACTGCCCTTCTGTCGCAGATCTGTCTGGTAGCACGGGCGTTGCGAGCCTCCGACGAGCGCTTGGCCGGTGCTTTGTGCGCGAACACCATGGGAACAAAATCCGGGTGGTCTCGATCAGACAACGGTTTCCCTGCACATAAGCAAGCCCCGGGACGGAGATTGAAATGGAAGCCGCACTTGCCAAAGTGCTTGCCGTACAAACGGTCGTTCGCGCGAGGCGACCATTCTTTTCGATCCTCGGATATTATCCACCTTCTATGCGTTTCAGAGTTTGCCGGGAACTTGTGGAAACTCACCCCGCTACTTTTCTTGTACAGTTTGGTGCTATTAACGGCAACACAGCTTCGCGGCATGCTGAAATGCTATGACGCCCATGCGAAATGTGCGCGCTTTTGCCCACACCACCCAACTCCGCGCGATCGCAGCGCCGCCGCAGCTCCATGACGTCAAGTCCGCGTGTCGGTCTGTAGGATCAGTCAACAAACCCACCACATTTCCCTCCCTTAAAAAAGTGGTTTGATTTTATAATCATACTCGCGTCAAAGCGAACGTAAGTTACATATCAGCGTTCAGAATGCCCCATGCGCTCTACCGCTACACCGTGTGGAAGCAATACCTGCAAAACGTAATTGGTGCTAATTATGATGAGTTGAGGCTGCTTGTGGCACCTGGATTAGACTTACAGCGATCGCGAAGATTAATCAAAACAAAAATATTGATGTGTAACTGAAAGGAATAAGTAATTTTTATCTCAATATACAGCCCAAAAGGAAGGTGAGCAAAAGGAGCTGGTGGAGCCATCTCAGAAAACACCGCGTCGTCACTGTCAAAGAAAACCTTCGAAGCAGTTAACATAATCGTCTCTATCTGGTTCCTCCATGATCAAGAGAGATTGTCTGCTATTTATCGCCATCGCTGCTATGTTTTCTTTTTGCCGTAGCCCAAGACGAAGGCAATCCGCGTAGTATCCAGGTGATTATCCCAGCCGTTCCAAAATCGAGTCGCGGACCGTTTACTCGCGATATCACGTGGTATTACCCGCTGACGTGGGTGACAGGTTACTCGGGTAAAATTTGGAACATATTCTTTAGGTTATTTCAATTTGGTCGGTTTCGGTTTCAACGTGCACGCTATTGTGATGATGTTTCATCATTCATGCAGTCTTGGGTAGTAACGCGTTACTAGTAACGCGTTACTGTAATTTCGTTACTTTTTTGGTAACTTGTAACTGTAACGAGTTACTTTTTTGGTAACTTGTAACTGTAACGAGTTACTTTTTTAAAATGTAACTTGTAACTGTAGTTCTATTACTTTTTTCTGAAGTAACGATGAAAGTAACGACGTTACTTTTGTCGTTACTTTGCAGTGTTTTATGAATAATATATCACTGATCGAGTACAATTTAGATTTTCCTTTCACTCTTAAAATCGTCTATTCCGACATTTCGAGTGTCATGTTGGCCTTGCACAAACTTGTGAATACGTTCTTTCTCACGAGTCACGACCCGAATATAGCCACGTGTAGCTTATCATGAAATAAATGTAGTTACATTCACGCACGCGCTTGTACTTTGTGACTGAACACTTACATCTTAGTGTCTTGAAGCACTACTTATTCTGTGGTTTTTCTTTTTTGTGTGAAAACACTTTTTAATCGGGTGAATCAACCGTGAAACAACAATACACGCGGAGGGCACTGCACATATTTCGTATTTTGATTAGCACCTCAACTCCACACTGCGCATGTTTCGTATTTTGATTTGCTCCACTACACTGGCGTGGAAATTTTCAAACACTAGTTCCGAGAAGCAACTTCTGCTGAGTTACAATATGAAGTAAAAAACATACTGTTTATTTTATGCAATAAGGCTTGGTGAGGGGCATTTTCTAGTTTTTCCTATTTTTTGTTTTATAGAAAAGTAACTGAAAAGTAACGTCGTTACTTTTTAAAAGTAACTGTAACGAGTTACTCTTTTGTTGCGGTAACTCTAACGGTAACTTCGCTACTTTTTTCTGAAAGTAACTGTAACTGTAACGAATTACTTTTTAAAAGTAACTTACCCAAGACTGGTTTCATGCCACTTTCGATTAATTTTGCGATATCAATTTCTTTCTTGTAGCACACAGCGAATGAAACAATAGTGTTGAGCGACTTGGCAAACCACGAAGTGGTTTCATGCGTAAATTGCGATCTTTTTACGAACACTATATGCGTCTGATTCCGTCCATCGTTAATTTTGGCCAG